CTTTTAACATTTTGCATTTGTTCGACGTGCTCTATGGACGTTTTAACACTCTGCATTTGCTCAACATTTTTTAAAGGGCTCGGCTGTTAATCGTCGGGCTGAGAAATCTTTTTTGCAAGCTTGAAAGTAGACATGTGCACTGCCAAAAAATTAGTTTAGTTTCGTTTCGTTTTAAATTCGGATTTGTGTTATTTCGTTTTTCAGGATTCGGGTGTGAAAGTCAATTCGGATTCGGAATTCGGACGAAATTCGGTAGCGTTAGTACGAACGTTCGTTTCGTTTTCTGTTCTTATTCGTTTCTTATTCGTTTCGTTCGTTTGCAGCAAAAGTGACATTTGAGGGGGAAAAAAATATTTTCTCCTTCTCTAATGTCACTTTGCTCCAACGAACGAAACGAATAAGAAACGAATAAGAACAGAAAACGAAACGAACGTTCGTACCAACGCTACTGAATTTCGGAAATGGAAATTCGGATTCGTTTGCATTCGTTATGTCTGTAATTCGGAATTCGGATACATCCGAATGTCCGAATTTCCGAAAATTCGTCCGAATTTCGATTCGGAACAAATCGAATCGCACATGTCTACTTGAAAGTGATGTGGGGTATGAACGAAGAAAAAGGAGGAATCTCCGGGATGTGAAACGCGCTTTCCCCACCACCATAGCGAGCAAAAGGCCTTTATCACAAAAGCTCCCCGTCCATCCGAATGTGCGAATTTCCGAAAATTCGTCCGAATTTCGATTCGGAACGAAACGAATCGCACGTGTCTACTTGAAAGTAATGTGGGGTATGAACGAAGAAAAAGGAGGAATCTTTATCACAAAAGCTCCCCGTCTGGCACCAGTTTCAGGAGTCCATGAGACTGTTGAGATTTAGGGGATAGATATTTCCTACACTATGTTGTCTTGCTGTTCAGCGATTCCACTTATAGACTTTGATAAGCTTCTGTTATCCTAAAAGGCCTAAAACAGTAAACAAAAAAAAAAGATATAGATATATGAAAATTTTGAAATCTCTCCTGTTTTATACAGAGGATCTTTACCTACGTGTGTGTATTTTATATTGGACAAAATCCAGTGTACCCATCGCACTCCTGACCGAAAAATACCCTTAGAGCCGGGTGGGTGCCAAAGTGACTGCAGATGCCTCTGCGATCCAAGATAAGTGTATGTATAAAGTCACTCGCACTCCAATAGAATTTCAAGTCCAAAAACGGTTTATTAGCTCGATTGCTATCACATCACATAGCTAAATGATGTGATAGCAATCGAGTCAATAAACCGTTTTTGACTTGAAATTCTATTCGAGTGCGAGTGACTTTATATATATATTTTATATATTAGCCTCTCTTAGATACCAGCAACTAGTATCTCCTACACAATATTGACTTACTGTTCAATTATCCCATTTATAGACTTTTATAAGCTTCTGTTATCCTAAAAGGCCTAAAACAATAAAACAAAAAGATTTAGATATACTAAAAAATTTGAAATCTCTCCTGTTATACAGAAGACCTTTACATACATGTGTGTATTTTATATTAGAACCTCTCTTAGATACCAACAACCAATATTTACTACACTATATTGACTTCCTGTTCAGTGATCCCACTTATAGACTTTGATAAGCCTATAAACAATAAAAAAAAGATATGGAGATATTAGAAAATGTAAAATCTCTCCTATTTTATACAGAAGATCTTTACTTACCTTACATAGTTATATAGTATTTGAGGTTGAATAAAGACACCGGTCCATCAAGTTCTACCTGAGTGTATTTGATATTAGAGCCTCTCTTAGATATCAGCAACTAGTAGTTCCTACACAATATTGACTTACCGTTCAGCAATCCCACGTATAGACTTTGATAAGCATCCATTATCCTAAAAGGACAAAAACAATAAACAAAAAAAATTGAGATATTATATTAAAACAATTTAAATATCTCATGTTTTATACAGAGGATCTTTACATACGTGTGTGGATTTGATATTAGAGCCTCTCTCAGATACCAGCAACTAGTATTTCCTATACTATATTGACTTACTGTTCAGTGATCCCACTTTTAGACTTTGATAAGCTTTTGTTATCCTAAAAGACCTAAAACAATAAAAAAGATACTGTACTGAGAAATTAGGAAATGTGAAATATCTCCTGTTTTATACAGAAGATCTTTACATATGTGTGTGTGTATTTGATATTAGAGCCTCTCTTAGATACCAGCAACTAGTATTTCCTAAACTATATTGACTTACCGTTCAGCAATGCCACTTACAGACTTTGATAAGCTTCTGTTATCCTAAAAGACCTAAAACAATAACAAAAAGATATCGAGGTATTAAAAAAAAATCAATATCACGTTTTATACAGAGGATCTTTACATACGTGTGTGTATTTTATAATAGAGCCTCTCTTAGATACCAGCAACTAGTATTTCCTACACAATGTTGTCTTACTCTTCAGCGATCCTGCTTATAGACTTTGATAAGCTTCCGTTATCCTAAAAGACCTAAAACAATAAAAAAAAAGATATTGAGATATTAAAAAAATGTCAATATCACGTTTTATACAGAGGATCTTTACATACGTGTGTGTATTTTATAGTAGAGCCTCTCTTAGATACCAGTAACTAGTATTTCCTACACAATGTTGTCATAATCTTCAGCGACCCTGCTTATAGACTTTGATAAGCTTCCGTTATCCTAAAAGGCCTAAAACAATATAAAAAAAGATATAGCGATATTAAAAAAATGTAAAATATCTCATGTTTTATATTTAGACATTGGAAAAGGGATTATATCAAATTTTAAACGGAGGATTTTTACATACGTGTTTGTATTCGATATTAGAGCCTCTCTTAGATACCAGCAACTAGTATTTCCTACACTATGTTGACTTATTGTTTAGAGATCCTGCTTATAGACTTTGATGGGCCTCCGTTACCCTAAAACAATAAAAAAAATAGATATAGCGATATTAAAAATTTTTTAAATATTGCATGTTTTATACAGAGGACCTTTCCATACTTGTGTGTGATATTAGAACCTCTCTTAGATAACAGCAACTACTATTTCCTACACTATGTTTTCTTACTGTTCCGCGATCTACTATTATTTCTGGTTTCAAGGTATTACGGTAGTTCATATTTTTTTACTGCAAAACAAGTAAAAAAAAATGTTTAAATATAACTCGTTTGCCTCACACAAGACCCGCGGAGCTTTTAACATTTTGCATCTGCTCGTCGCTTCCTGCGGAGGTTTTAACACTTTGCTGCTATCAGCCAGGCCCGAGAAACCCTTCTCGGCGAGCCTGAAAAGTCTGCGGGCCCGCAAGCGAATGAAAAGGAGCAATCTCCGGGAAGTGCGAGCGTGTGAGCTCATTGCATAAGCTTCTCGTCTCCCACCTTTTAAGCGCCCGCCTGGCGAACCGTGCTGCCGCTAATCAGCTGCAAAGGCAAACACAGCCGCCCGTGTAGAACATTCCCTTTTTTTTTTTTATTATTATTATTTTAATCCATTCGGGTTTTAATAGTTAAGGATTTTTAAGCTTCCTCGAATGTGGGCGCTCCTGAAAAAATTGAATTCCCTGCCACGGAAACTTGAGAATCGCTGGCAAGACATGAATATTACTGTGCAGCGCAATTACGTCTTTTTAAAACACGGATGTATGGTGAAATATATTATGCATATTGTCTTGAAGCGCACCTTTAGGCCACATTCGCTTTCCCGCTGTCATACCTGCCACCGCGTGACATTTAATGAAAAATGTTGGCTGTGCCTGACAGGTGGTAATAAAGTGCGAGATAGGCAGCCCCCTACTTTACCATCGCTCATTGCATGCGAATTTCACTTACATCTAAATACCATCAGTCATGTCCACACCGAGACCCCTATGCATTGTTAGATTGTCACTCATAAATATTATAACCGATTCATTATAGTCCCAGCTTTTGTACGGGAAACCCTTAATGTCAGTCATGTTGGCCAACAAACCATGGCAGGTGTGGATTCGTACGCCTAGCAAGTGTCCATCATTGTCACTGACATGCATACATTTTTAAAAAATTGTCACTCACGACCGAATAATTATCCCCCTCCGCTCCACTGATGTGTCACTCATAAAAAGCGTAATTAAACAGCAATAATTACTCCGAGTGTCAGTCAGGTTATCATCCCCGGCTTGGGGTAGGGTCTTCAACCTCCATCAAAATTTAATCAGGAAGTTGTTGAATCCCTCAAATTGGATATATTTTGCGGTTTATCGCATTTGAAAGCTTGGCTGCGGGGGGAAAATAATGAAAGCCTGGAGTTTCATGCCACTGCGGGGGAAAAAAGAAAGAAAAAAAAAAGCCTCTCGCGGGCTAGGCAGGACGAGAGTGGCGAGACAAACGGCTCGCCTAAAAACGAGGCCGGTTAATGGGGTTGGGGGG